CTGACAGTTGGACCTCTGCTGCAGGAATGTGTCTGTGAAAGGTGTTGTCTGGTAAACAGTCATCTTTGTGTGCTTCTCTTTACCGTTTTTAAAGGGGAGACAAGTCAAACAACAAAACTTCAAAGACTTGAGTATTCTGTATTTGTCTTTCCTCAGGTGTCTGGAGAGTGTAGAAAGTCAATATTCTTGATGATGGCACTTTTGACTGCACTGTTTTAACAAGCCGTTTTGTTACTTAACTTAATCGTTATAGGAACTGGGTGCGAGCTAACGGATATTTTGAGATCATTATGACGACTAGAACCAATGGGTGGGTAGGCCTGTCACGATTATAGTATATTTTATAATCCTGTTCACTTAACATTCAATATAAGAAACCTGGAACTATATTTTTTCAGTCAGTATTTATCTTGTGTACTTTTTTCTTTGCACTACTGGGTAATTTAGCGTTATTTTTTGGCTATATGACATAGCAAGTTTTGTTTTAAAGAAGAAAAAAACAAAAACAACTACCAATAAATAACAGAATGCAATGCTAAAATAGTTGTAGTAGTTTCTCTCAATAATAACTCATTAAAGTTCATAATTCAACCCTCTACAGCTGAAATCTCATCGTAGAACAGAAAAATAACCAACATTTTCCCACTAGTGCAAGGGAAAAGTACCCAAGATAAATACTGACCCCAAAAAGTATTCCATCTGTCATGTATTGAACAATAATACGTCGATATAGTATTTATCGTGGCCTACATTAAATAAATCTTATGTAATGTAATGTTGGGCAGATGTCAAAGGAAAAGCTTTTATTAAACCCCACTTAAGCTTTTTCCATGAAACCCTGAGGACATGTTTTTGTGTGAAGACTCGTGAAAAGCAGCTAAGACACTCTTCTTCTTCAGCTCACAAATATGCTCTGTATTGGTGGGTTTTATGTGTCTGATCCAAACACAGATAGAATTACTTTCCTCTGTCACTCAGTGTGAGTTCAACCACTGCAGCCACAGCCTTGTATGGTCAACACAACACATCATTATAAACACATTTTAATGATTATTTTATATTTTTTTGTCACTTGGGTGTTTTTTGGTGCGATTCTGCTTATTGGCTGTGTGCTTTTATGTAGAAAGAATTCCCCCAAAGAAATGTTTTGCTTTTGCTCTGCTCTATTTCCTAGTATAAACAAGCCCCTCTATTCATTTCAACCTTTACATCCAAGCCCTTCTATCCACATGACTGAACAATGAAAGACTCCACTGATAAACAGTGTTGAATTTAAAGGTCCGTCCTATACCCACAAAAGAGTCTCGAGTGTTAAGTAGTGTTATAATTATTACCTCCTCAAATATACCAGGAGTTCTGTTTTGTTTCATTCACGCAGGTTTGAGTAAACCTTTATCATTAGTCTGTCTACATCTCCAAAGCTCAAAATGCTCTGTTCCTTATGATGTCATGACGCCATAGTTTTCAACCTAACAGCTACTTTTTACCTTTTAATTCAGTAGAGATTTTAGGGTTGAAATTACTTGCATGATTCTAGTGAAAAGTACACAGTATAAAAATACTGTAGAGCAGGGGTCTCCAACCAGTAGCTCTCCACCCCCTTCCATGTAGCTCCCCAAGGGAATTGTTTTTTATGTATTGCACTGAATCGCTAAAACTGGATTAATTACCATTATAAATGTCTTAGTTTGATCCTGGGCTTTGTACACTGATACGTGGATAATGGTTTGTTTTATAGACATTTGACTGTACCCCATTTAAGCCTTGCTTTGGCTCTTGTATGTACTCAATTTCTTGCAAACACTAAATTGAGTAGCTCACTGGTATTTTTGTTTTGTAAAAGTAGCTCAAAGGAGGAAAAAGGTTGGAGTCCCCTGCTGTAGAGCACTTCCTATATCGCCACATGGCATCACAAGGTGAAACTGTTTTCAGTTTGAGGGAGAGAGGGAACTCAGCCTAAATATGTAGGGTTTGTGTGTTAAACATGTGAATGAAACAAAACACAACTCCAGGTATGGTTGTTATATGATGTCACAACATAAAATGGATCAGAAAAAAAACATAATATGGGTCCTTTTGAAGTCCATGAGCTACAAGTTATCACTGATTATGGCAATGTGGATTCCAACGCTAACTGCCAAAGTAACAATAATCTTTTAAACTAGTCACTGTGCTTGTGAACAAGTGTAGATTGTGTGTTTTTGCATGCTTGGTCCTTGGAGACTCACCAGGGGGTCGTTTTGGAGTCCTCTTCTGCAGCATCTCCACTCCTCTCCCCCAGAGCACACACGTAAACTAGGTCAGCTCTGTCTGCTCTCTTTATTGGCTATTAAAAAGTTAAAGTTGTGGTGCTACTAGAATTGTGCAACATAAATTAAATCATTGGAATTCAAGGGACCTACTCCAGAGCGTGGTGTGTGTACAGGGTATTTGAATTTAAATGAATGCGTTTTCCACAAACATCTGTTTTGAAGGGTGGGTTAATGAGTCTTAAAGTCTACAAATTCAGAACCATCAACTTTTTACACTTTCAATATTAATACAGTATCTGGGTGTTAAGAACCTGTCTCTCTTCGATGTTGTGAAATTTTTATCCACATTCTCTACTTCCTTCCTGATTTTAAAGATCTTCTAGTTGAAGTCTTGGTCTTTAATGAAAAAATGTAAAGCAACATGGTAAAATTAAGGCATTTGGTTATATTGTAAATAAAGTTGAATGTATTGTATTAAACTATTATTAACCAAGGTGATATCAAAATCTGCATCAAGAGTCTTTTCCCAAAAAAACATTTCAATATCATGACTACAGCAGTGCCAGCAGTTCCATTCAGTAAAGCAGTCTCCCTCGCCATTACGATCTACTGTGTGGCGAGATGTAGACTGTTTTCCTATAGGTTGTGTATGAACATGGTTTTGTCTGGAGTTTGCAAACAGTTTTTCCACATTGGCCCGTCTCTGACCCTCGCTCTCTGTCACACATGAAAACACCAGACGCACAGGCCCAGCTGCTGGAGCAGCTTTGAGGAGGTCTGCAGCGCTGGAATGTGAATGCGTCAGATATGTTTGTAATATTGAAGGGAGGGGGATTCTAAGCCGACAGCATTCTTTGCACAAAAGTGAAAAAAAATGTCTGTTTATAATTGATTGTTTGCTAATTTCTGTTGTGTTTTTGGTGGTTGTTTTTGGAGTTACTGCAAAATGCCTCTGGTTAAATCTGGGTTCTAACTTTTAGGTACATTTTAGGGGAAAAAAACAAGCTAATTCATGTTTCATACTTTCATAATGGCACTTCATACAATTTGGCTTTGGGGGTTTTGAGGTTTGAAATACACTAGAAAATCCGTGTCCTCCATACCAGCACGCCAAATACATCTAGATCTGACATGAAGCCTGAGCTCACTGATAAAGACCATGTACAATGCTTTGTAAAGCTGTTCTACCCTCTTCTCAAACACCACTAAATCCCTGTGCGCGTGTATCAGACACAGCATTAAAACTGACCCATTTTGACCGGACGGCGCCACTTGTGATGTCTGGACACTGAGCTGGAGAGACGCACGGCAGCTGTAATTAAACTGCCTGGAGACACTGGTCAGAACTAAGATTTAATGACTCACACGAACTGCTATATTTCTGTTTCTTCAAGTGATATGTAAATACAACTGACTGGGCTTTGGATTGTTTCGTTGTGTTGACAATCTCCCTTCAATGATCTTACAAAGAATGGCGCGTTCTTAGTTTGCAAGAGAAAAAGGGATTTCTATCGATGCTTTTGTCCCCTATAGCCTAGTCCACAATGCTTGTCGACCATGTCATTGAGTTTATTGTGGTTCACACTGCCCATGAATATAGCATTATATCTTCTCGCTGTTTAGTGCCAGAACAAAAACACAAGCAATGGCATTCTTTCATTCTTTTGATTTAGTTTCTTTTTATTCTTTTGATTTTGTTACTTAATGAATGAATCTTTTCTGTGCCAATATAGCTGCATGCAAGCTCAAATGTAATTATATAGGTCAAATCATTTGTTGTTGTCTGATTCTGGAGAGGTTTTGACTAATTCACAAGCTATTTTGGTTTCTATTTGTTTTTATTGTTCCTATTGTTGAGAGGCATTTATACACTGGCTATTTGATTAGTTTATCTCGGCCACAAGTAAATAATAATTTCACAACCGTATTAATAAATGACAATCATATTTGTGTCATGAAGTTTGATTTGGGCTTCATGGCTTTACCTTTTTAATCATTTGATGTAAAAATACAAAACAACATATTCATAAATTTAAATGAAGTGAGAATTCACTCAAAGGGTGTTATTTGGTTTCCTTTAATTTCTCAAGCTCATAACATTGAGATGGGCACAATAAGAGGAAAAATAAAATGGAGTGAAGTGAACATTTAATACCTGACTTTTCCCCTCAGACTCAGTCTATGCCCACAGTCCTGCTGAATCGGTCAGTAGGGTTATATTTGAACCATTAATGTTTAACACTAAAGTACACAACGTTAACCAGTCTAAAAATGTTTGCTTTAAGATTATACTCTGTTTCTGTGAACTTTGACTTTCTTGTGAGACATAATTTCTATATTATCCCCCCCCCCTTGTTTCTGTGGAGCCGGAAACCTATTTTCTTACAACAGTAAGGACCTTGACAAGGCTCATCAGCATTTTCACTGCAAATATGAAAACAATGGCGACACTAATGAACCATTTGGTCTCATGTTTCCATCTCCTGGGTGGCCACTGTTTACAATAAGGGATTTTCCTTTTTGTAAAACCATATATAACCAGAAAACCCCATTGGAACACTTCCTCATATTTTTATGGTGTTTTTATACCAGCTTGTGTGGTAATAATTGATAGGCTATTGAGTCAACATCTTGATTGGCTATCAATTATTACTTTAAGAAATCATTTGCTGTAAATGTTAGACAAATTTTCTAGTGAAATTCACAACTGCACATTGAGTCCAAATCTTCTTTTTTTTTTATTCACAGGAAATCCAAAGAAGTCAGATCTGTGGTCAGTGACTTGTTGGATCTATTAGAAAAGAGACCCCACATTGGCATTCACGACAGGGAATGAAACCGGATGGGGTTACCATGGAGACCACGGACCCCACCGAAGCTGCGTCCGTAGCTGAGCCTACCAATCCACAAGACAACTCCACTGAGCAGAGTCAAGCACCGCCACAGGAAGCCACAGGTGATGCAGCCCCCAACACTGCTCCCACTGTCAATGGAAAGACAGCTGCAGCTAAACCCAAACCTACAGTAACGAAAAAAACTGCTCCAACATCCAAGACTGACTCCACATCTGGGTCAAGGCTGACTATGACCTCTCGGCGCCCAGGGAATGATGTCAAATCTACAAACGCCCCAAGGAGTGCCCCTGTCAAAAAGTACCCTGCACCTTCTGCGAGACCACCAGGGGCAGCAGCAGTGCCGAAAAAAACAGGAAGTGCATCAACAGCGAAAGCTCCCATCAAGGTGCCAGACAAAACCCCTTCTGGACCTGCCTCTGCTGCCACAGCGATGTCTAATGGTACCAAACCAGCATACAGCACTCAGACGAAAACACTGGCTACAACTAAACCCAAAACTGCAGGTGGGATTAATAAGAGATGGAAAATATTTTGTTACTCATAAATTGTTAATAATGTTTTTTTTTTGTTTTTTGTGCAGGTCCTGCCCCTCGACCAATGGGATCCACCACCACCAAAACAGGAACTTCCCACATCAACAAAACCTGATGCTTCTGCTCCCATGAAGACAGCCAGGTAGGAACCAGATGTCCTTCCATATGCAGCATTTTTTTATGGACTTGAAATGGGCTCTTAATACGGTATCTAAATGTAGCCATCTGAGCGGGACCTTCCCCTCACTTTATACCTCTGTCCTAGACCCTTACCCACTTACTGGCAAAGGTGATGTCTCAAATATCCCTACAGAGAAATCAAATGATGTACAACTGGTCATGCATTTTTTTTTTTTTATTTCTTGCAAATATGCATTGCAATGTGCAATGCATATTTGAGATTTTTCTACTTTCTTGTAAGTTTTTGGAAAGAAAAAAAATGACTTCCAAACAGCCTGAGTGGGTGACTGTTTATGTTGGTGCTCTGAAAGGGAGCATGGAATAATGATGCTCATTGTTGTGTTTGAACTGTCATAGAGTCAAATTTCACTTGAAGAGAGTGAGTCATGGTAGTGAAAATAACCTGAGACAGAGGGTCTTAACAAGAGGGACAATCGTAAAGAACTAGTGCTTTGTCCTAAACACAGCAATGGCAAAATCCCCTCAAAACACCACAACTTTACGCTTAACAAATATCTGGGAACATGCTACCACTTCACATGAAGAGTCCTCCTTTGTCAGGATTCAAATTTCCTTTCTCCTTGTTACTTCAATTTTATTTCAATTTATCGTTATAACAAATATTGAATAAAAACATTACACTTTCAGAATTTCATGGGGCTTTAAAATTACAGATTTTTATTGTGTTCATTTGGTGTTAAAGATTAAAATGTTCTATGTCTTTTAAAGCACAATTTAAGACCACAACCTGTAAAGATGTTGATACATTCCAACAAACAAATAAAAACACGTACTGTACTGTAATTAAAACTGAAATTAAAATTGTAAAAATCTGCAAAGACATGGGTCCTGGCAATGTGGTCAATGGTTATGATTTGGCAAAAATTTAAGATTGAGGCTTTTGGTTTTTACTCGGGTACAGTGAACATTTTGGACACAATCAAATGTGGTTGTGATCGCACTGGACAGCGCAGTGAGCACACAGATGGCCACATTGTACAGGTCATGTAAAGGTCATATAAACGACAGTGTTCAAATTGCAGGTCATGGGTTAGTACGTCGTGCTGTGTGACCAATGGAAAGATCAGAGTTTCTCATCAACTATTAATGCGAATGGCCCCACAGGGAGAAATAAAGGCACACTGGGCAATGCTTGCACTTGTGAAATGCTCTCAAAATCATCTTGAACTTTTCTAAGAGGCTAATGAGGTACCAACTACGCACCTACTGTCAAGTATTGCTGTTTTAGGCTAAATGAGTAGCCAAAGCAATACTCATGAAATTTTTTTTCCCCTACTGTTGTCACAAAGATTGAGAAGTTTGAGTAAAAACTTCCAATGGTCCCTCCTTGGCTCTCTTTCAGTGATTGGTGATTTAGTCGATGTACCAAGCAATCAGTCTCTGTCAGACGAGCCCCTCTTTCACTTCACACTTCCCCCTCTTGCTGTCTGTAGACATTTCTGGGCATTCAGCCAAAAGTTCAGATTCACAGTCACATATTTTGCATCGCACAAAAAATATCTAGTAAGTAAAACTTGTTCAGACATTACAAATACATTTATAAAGTAGATTCTCAAATTGCTGCATCCTCCTTACTTAAGTGTTTGCCATTTTAAGCCATTTTAATTACTTTTTTGATCTAGTGGTGGAAATGCTAACAGACTTGGCAGGGTACGGCACTGGCAGTCTTGGCATTTTTAGCCAGTGGCATCTATCACTATGACAGTAAAAGTCTCGGGGCCCCTCCACTTACTTCATTGTCAAGGAGATCTCTTTAGACCCTCAGAGTCCAGGGATGATTTGCTCACACAGACTAAAGCAGCTGGTGTTGAACTACTCACAAACCAAACAAGGAATTGTTCTGGTTCTCCCTGTCCAATTTTCTGTTACTGAAGAGAGGGAAAAGCTTCAGTTGTAGACTCACAGCAGTTGCTTTTTTCATGGTTAATCCACATTAGACTTTGGACCAAAGGGAGTACTGGGAGCTTGTGGCTGGAACAGATTTTGTGATCAGCCTTATATTAGACTGCAGAACCCTTATTTCATGCATTGTCTCAAATTTATTTCACAATATTGTCTGACCATAAAGTGTATCCACCCTGTCACGACCTTCGCCCCCTGAGGACCTGTTTGGTCACTGAAGTCCCTCAGAGGGTTGGGTAATGCTCTGGTCCTCCCCCTGGACTGTAGTGCCTATTGATTTCCAGCCTCAGATGGATGAAATGTGATATCTACACCTTCCACAGACGCATCAGGCTTAATACCACAACCAGTACATAGGCATTATTGGGCCTCTTAAACCTATTTCCTGTTCCATTATGAGTTATGACTCATCATAAAACAATGGAAGCAGTTGTGTGGTTTGCAGCGGCCTGTGACCTCCAGTTCCTCACTACTGACTAATTTTTATTATTTCCTGTGACTTTTATACCTAGAAAGTAAATCATTCACTTAATTTGCTGTCAGACTGCCTAAATCTGAAATGCCCTGGCCATTTCAATATAGCAGCAGAGTACAGGCCAATATTTCTGCCCTTGCTATGAATTTATGTAGTGCCATTTATTTATATAGTCCCTTTTTATAAATATTTATAGTCACATAAATATAACTAGAACAGAATCATGCTTTTAAACTTTGTTCTAGTTATATTGTACAGGATATCGGCTTCAGTGGAGTAGTGGCCAGCATTAGAAAACAAATGGCCATTGTGATGGTTATTGTAATGTGGGAGCGGCATCTGAGCAGGAAGGCTCCTCTGCTCAGCTGGAACAATCAGAGTTGCTCTTTTGTTCTAAATCCTCAAACTTTTCAGGTCCTAGAAAAGTAAACAGCCAGAGCAGCAAACAGCCTCCTCTGATTTCACTTAAGATCTATTGAACAACTTTAACACAGGGAAATAAATCAAAGCAAGTATGGGAGACTTAAACATTAACTGAGGACGTTAGTTCTTGTAATCTTCATGTAACACGTGCGAGGATTTGAGGATGCACTTGACCTGTTAACAGAGGTGCTTCTCTCACACCTGCTGTGTATTAGTCACTTCCTCTCTACTTTCCCTCATCTCTTGATGTATAATTTTACTGGCAAACAGTGTTTCCTCTTTTTGTTTAACTGCTTCCTCCAGGATCTTTGTGAATAACTGGAAAACACCTTTGTCATTTCTTTATCTTTTTGCATTTTGGGTAACTGTTGCTATCCCAAAGCTCTCTACATAATGTATCATTTTGACTAGGCTTATCTTTTTTTCTTTCAGACCTGCCACAGTGCCCTTGACGACCCGTACAGCAGTCAAGCCCTCCACTGCTGCTGTCAAAACAAAGCCCCCCTCCACTGTGAGAACTGCTGCATCCAGAGCTGCCACAGCGCCCCCTTCTGGCAGACCCACAGCAGCACCACCCAACAAAGCTGCTGGACCTGCAAAGAAAGGTAAACCTTAGAGATGTGTGACAGCACAGCCAATTCACAATTCTGTTTTGGTGCACAATACAGGACTTGCATTTTTTTATGTGATCATTCCTTCTTGAACAACAGCTGAAACTATTTGATATATAATGCATAATTGGTGTAATTAAGACTATTGTAAGAAAGAAAATCTTGCATACATTCACATTTTTCATTCAAGATGCATCATTGTTCACTGCACAATGTATAATTAGAATACAGAGAGAGCAAGGTTTAGTATAAAAAAAATCTAATGTGTTTTTCTCTCTCGTACAATAGATGTCAGTCGACCGGCGCCTGCTGCTGTGGCCAAAAAAGCACCACTGGCTGCTGCAAAAAAAGTTGAAGTCTCCAAATCCGCTACAAATGTGAAGCCTAGCATGACTTCAACAACCACAAAGGCTGATCCAAAACTACCACCAAAGCCTCAGCAAACCATGAAGCCCAACGCAACAAAGAAACTGCCTGTTGCTGCTGCACGCTTCCCAGCAGTGAGCAGAGTCGGCCAGACCCCACCTGGTTCTCCGGTCGTCAAATCTCAATCAGCCCCCAACACCCCTCGATCCAAACTCGCACACAAACCTACTCAGGCAGTCTCTCCATTCACTGCCAGCAAGAAGACAGAGCGAATGGGAGCAGCCAAAGCAGCTGCAGCAGCTTCAGATAAGCCCCCAGTACCGGGAGTGGCAAGAGCAGCAGGAGCGACAGCAGTAGCAGCGGCAGTAGCAGCAACACAAATGGAACCTGTTACAATTTTACCACAGGAGCCATCCTCTGAAGCTGCCGGGGCAGTGGAGGAATCTGATGTGATCTCTGCACAGTGTACTGCGTTAGAGAGAGAAACTGAAAATGACACAGCTTCTGCTCATGAAGAAAGTCCTTTGAGAACAAACTCCTCCTCAAATTGAGCAACAACAACCCCATGTTCCTTCTCCATCTACACACAAGCCTGTCCCAGCTGCATCCCTTGTCTCTCCAGTTTCTCTGCCTCTTGAGCCTGAAAACATTTCCCCTGTAACTGAACCTGAAATGTCTCACCCACCAACATCCATGTTAGAGCCTGAAAATGATCACCCTCTGATAATTCCTACACACAATCTCAATGAAGATGAGGAAGAGGAGGAGAAAGAGGGAAGTCAGATTGTTTCTGTTTCAGAAATGAGTGGGACCACACAGCCCACTGAGGAGTCCCGTCCAGGGTCGGCAGGTCCAGCTGGAGCATCTGCCTGGAGAGTGGGCGGGGCCTTGCTCTCTGAGCTGGACTCTGAGGAGGTGAGTGTGAGTCAGCACGGTGCCTCTGAGCTCAGTGCCCCTGGGGTTCTGGAGGGCACTGAGAGCATGGATGATCTGGGGGAGGGCAGTCTTAAGGGGGCCATGGACATGGAGGGGGCCTCAGCTGGGTCTCCTGACTTTGAAAGGGTTCCTGAGATACCAGTGAACTATGATGAAGATGATGAAGATGAAGATGACAATGACAATGATCGTGTTTGTGATATGGATGTGGGATCTGAGCGAGCAGATGAACCCCAGAGACATGACAATGATGTGGATGATGAGGAGGATGAAGATGTGGAGATGGCCAGTGAGGGTGTGACTGAGAGTGGCCTGGAGAGCTACGGAAACGCAGATGAAGATGACTTTGCTGAGGATGAAAGACTGGACAATCTGAACAGAGTCGCTCAGCCCCCACCCCCTCCTCCTCTGCTGCCTTCAGCTCCTGCTGCGCAATGGGATCAGCCCAATCCTTTCTCTGACCCATGGGCCAAGCCTGTCCTACAGCAGCCTCAACCTGGGGCAGAGGGGACAGAAGCAGAGAGTCCTCTGACTGACCCCTGTCAAGGAGACTCTGAGACCCCAACACAAGAGTCAGCTCAGGCCTGGCTTGAACTTGGCTCTGCAACAGTCACTAATGAAAACCAAGAGGATCTATACACTCGACCTGGCAAAAACGAACAACAGACTCCTGAGCTCCAAATGCTTTCTGCTGAGGCCGCATTGTTTGTACCTGCATCTTGTGCCCAGGGGTCTTCTCCATTGAGAACCTTCAGCAGTGGGACTAGCTCTCCTGAAGAACCTAAAGAGAAGGGGCCTTTGCCTTCTCCACAGCCTGAGCTTGCACACAGAGAGGAGGCTGAGTGTACACCTGCACACCAGCTCCTGGCCTCTAATGCCCCTGGCTCCAACCCCTCCTCCTCTTCAGTGACAGAGGATGAGGCCAGTGACACGGAGGGTGAGGCTCAACTGGAGGACTCTCTAGAAACTCCTGTCATTTGCAACGTGACTTTTGACACCCAGACCCACAGCACACGCTGCCTGTCCACAGTAGAGGAGGGGGAGGAGCCGGAGGACAGTGGCGCAGCGGAAGATGCCACACCTCCATCAGCTACCTCGCAGGTGTCCTATGGCTTCGACACAAACACCTCAGCATCCAACTCCAATGCTCAGTCTACTGGGGAGAGCTGTGTGAAAAGCCCTGGCATCTTCTCTCTGGAGGAGCTGCCTGAGGAGGTCAAAGAGCCACCTCTGACTCACTTGTCTCCAGCTCCACCCAGTCTGTCCGATCAACCCTACATTGAGTGTGGGAAAGACCATGAGGACTATGAGAAGGCTGTAGAAAACAAAACGGCAAGTCCAGACAAAGTTTTTGCCCCCTCACCTGAGCCCCAACAAGTAGAACAGATACATCCTCTAGATGACCTCCAGCCTCCATACTATTCAGCCATTTGTGAAAAGACTGAGAATTTTGCAGGTAATGTATAGTTCATGTTAGTTTGTTCTGCCCTCGTGTTTAACCCCATTTCCTCATTCTTGTTGTAGTTTGTGTTTTAAATCTTTTGGGTGGCCCTAACAAGTTAATGGGTTGGAAAATGGAGAGCAAAAAAGAACAACAATTAAAAGCTATGGCAAAAGGAGTTTGTTGCTCCAGTTCCTTTATGCGCATTGTGCAATATCCATTACTAATAGTGTGCACTGCCTGGTGTTGTGTCGTCTAACTTGTGGCATGGGTATTTAAATAATTCTAAAATACACTTAAAAACATTCTCAGTGGGAATGAACAAAAGACATTTTCTATTGTTCTGATGTGGGAACATGCACTTACAGTAAGAGGGAACAAACACTATGTATACTCATCATGTCGAAACTTTTTGTCTGTATTAATCCTACGTTTTACTGAAACTTTGATCCATGTTAAAATACGAGCATCGTTCTTAACCCACTTCCATTTTGTCTTGCACTTTAATGATTTCTGGCCTTAACATGTGTTTAATACATTTTGGAATAATGGAATGTTTAAAATAAACTTTAAATAAAGATAACATTTTTACTATGGAGTATTTTCTATTGTATATTTATTTATATATTACTGTACACTGTCAGATATACATGAAACTTGTAGTGCTGTTATGGCCTTATTCCCGTTTGGACATTGAAGATGCACTAAACTCTGCTGAACGTGAAATACTGCACCGCTGGAAGGACTCAGAAGTTGCATCTTTAGGTTCAACTTTTCAAAGAAACTAAACGCAAGTTCCAGCTCATTGTGGATACACAGTCGACCTCTACTGCTGCTACAACTGGACTTTTCCTGTTCTTTCACTGTGGGTGTTATGCTGTTTAAGCTTGTATCCACTGCACCTTTAAGTATTTGCTCCTAGTTATTGTAAAGTAAGCTTCTGCATGCCACTGTTGCACAATGTTTTTCATATAATTTCTTTGAAAATGGTTTGTTAGGCTTATCATATAGCTTGGTCTTAGAGTCGACTTATGAAATGACTTAAAAACAAGCTATGTTATTTATGGTTATTTCTGTTTATGCTTATTAGTGCATGGGACGCTTATGCATGTGTCACTGGTTACACAGCCAGCCATAGAAGGCTGCTGAAACTAGTCATAGCCGTGTTGCACATACAGGAACTTGGCTGCACACAAATCTTTTCTTTCTACATCTTATTTTTAAATATAAGATCACAAATTTGCACAAATGCTCTCTGCTTAATATTTCCAACCCACTGTTTACTGCCACCCCAGTCACTTTTCCATTGGGCCACAGTTACGGTTTTGTATTGCACATGCATTGATAAGAATGCATCAGCACAGTTGGTGTTAGGTTTGGAGCTTATGTTTTAAGGGCTGTCCTCCTTTATACACCTTTGCCTGCATTCTTCTGCTGTTCCTTTGCTGCTTGCCACTTGTTTTATAAAGTCACACTATTTTAATGTGTGTCCTGCTCTGTCACAGGCTTCACTTCACTACTGCACCCACAGCGCCGGGATCACTCTTCATACCCACGCACCTACTGTGACATTGTCAAACCCGTCAATGCTGCGCTCGCATCTCCAAAGCTGAGCTGCACTGACCTCCCACCCCGGAGCCCCAAACAGCAGTCCCTCAGTCCACAGCTCCGCCGCCTCGAGCAGCACCAACGCCATCTGCAGGAACTACAACAGCGCCGCGAGCAACAGAGCAGACCCATGGAGGAGGCAGAGCAGGAGAGGAAAAGGAGGGAGGAGGAGGAAGAGAGGAAAAAGAAGGATGAAGCAGAAGAGGAAATTAAGAGGAATAAGGAGGAGCAGGAGAGGAGGCTACGAGAGCAAGAAGAGGCCAAAAAACAAGAACTACTCCAGAGGAAAGAGCTGGAGCTGCAGCTGCACCAGCAACAGGAGGAGCTCAAACAACGGCAACAGATCATACAGTGGCAACAGGAACTAGAGGAGTCCAATAAAGGACAACCATTACTGCTGTCACCCTCCTCTGGACTCTGCACAATCTACGAGGCACTGGAACATGACGATGAGGAGGACGCAAAGCGCGAGGATGAGATTGTAAATGAGCTAAACTCTGTCACAGATGAGAGCTCCGAGGCCTGTCGGGAGGTGGACAGTGACTGTGGGAGGGTTACTCCAGAAACACAGAGCACCCACTGTTCCCCACCTCCACAGAATGCGCAACAGAAACTGAGGAGTACTACTGAGAATGGGGGCGACGACTCTACCCCGCCAGAGTCCCCTGACAGACCTTTACCCCTGGAGCTGGAGTGGGGAAAGAAAGTGGACATTGTGCATCAGTTGATCAATCAGACTCTGCTGTTGAATGGGGATGGGTGCTCACCTTTGCTGCTTCTTCCTGGTGGAGCGGGTGGGACTCTGAGCCCTCTGGAGAGTAGCCTGTGGCCCAGCCTGCTGCCTCCCCTTACCCCTCCTTCTGCCACTGTCACCTCTGTGAGCAGTTTTTCCCCCGAAACAACCGGCACCTCATCACAGGGGGAGTGGACAGTGGTGGAGCTGGAGACACATCACTAATGAAAATTATGGTAGAATACTCATTCACATCCTATATTCTGTTATAAAGCACATGCACAGGGTAATCATAACACACTGTAAAATGGCACACATCAGCAGATAACATTGACCTGGAAAAGTCAGACTGGAAACTACATGCAAAACCCTCACGCTCTCCTCAGGGTCACATTGATCTGAAGAATTTTTTTTTTTTCCCCACTCCCTTGGGGCGGGTCAGTCAGACCCAAAAATTTATTTTCTTACCTGGCGAGAATTTATTTGAAAATAAATTTTTGGGTCTGATTGACCCGCCCCAAGAGAGTGGGAAGGGAAAAAAATGTCTTCAGGTCAATGAGGGTCTTACTCTTGAGATGCGATTGGCTCTTCTATGAATTAACTACTAATATTTTTTTTATTTATTGTATTCCAATTTTTGCTGCATACTTGATGTAGTAATCAACTATATATTTTAACACATGTAGCTTTTACTTGGTGCTAAATTTCCACAGGAGAAACACAGACAAGCACAAAATCTTCCATGCTCTTGTATTGGAAGATGATTACACACTATCCTAATCTTGGCCAGTGCTTGTGTTAAATAAACATCTGGTGTGTGAACTGTAGCACAGAAATTAAATGACTTCAGGCACTACACTGTAACTCTGCACCTTTGGCCATTCTACTCTTCTGCCCCCAAACCCAACACAAAAAGAGGATTGTGGGTCGTGTCCAGTTTCAGTCCCCATGCACCTGAAACCATACCATCACACGTGCTTGACTGAAACGAGATGAAAATGGACACATTCTGTTTTCAAATGTCTGTTCTCGGGGCTTAACTCACACTGCTAACACTGTATGTGCCAAAATTATCACTCTTCCACCTCACTCATATTAGCTGGGGGCTTGCTCTACAATTTATTGATGTCTTAGTACTAATACACTGTTACTTGCTATTAACCACTATTGGCAAAGCAATTGCACTAAGTATCTTTATTCTCTAACATGCTAAAATATTTTCCTGTCTTTGTCACCTCTAATTTAAAGGGAGTTGCACCAACAATGTTTTAATGTGGGCATTAACTAATCTGTTTAGAAGTATGTTTTCTTATGTTAGCAGACCAGACTTTTCCAGTGGTTTAACTTATGAAATTATTTATGATACATTTATTGAACATGAAAACTCTGGGACATCACCGATATTGCTGTGAATAAAAGTATACTGGGAACAGCTTTTTAGAGTAAGTATTGTAGAAAGTAGTATGTACTGTAGTCTTTTTTTTTTTATTGTCAAAAATTGTCATTTTTCTTGTTTCCATATGCTTTAGTTTGCTTTATTGATTAATGTAGCATTTGTCAAATTATACATTTTGATCAAATTACATTTGGAGGGGTGCAGTATTCATTGGCCTCAGATTAGCTAACCTTTGGGCTGTTCACAGCTCTTTGCACAGCAATGTTCATTTAGTCTTCCTCACTTTGTTCACCTGTTTCTCAAACGTTTCAGTGCTTTATGGCCCAGAAGGAAGATTTATAATAAATATTATCTTTGCATTGTCATACCTCAAGCCACAGTGGTTGCTGATGAGCTTCCCTCAAGTACTGTTTGTGCAAATCTATGTATTGTTAAGTGACTGCTCACTGTACTGATGGAAAATGTATCTTTATTTCTACTTTTCATATTACCTGAAGAGTTGATTTTAATAGAACATGTATTGAAATTTAGGAATGAAGGAGAATGCATTTGCTTTAAATGTAAGTAAACAGCATTTTTATGTCATGTCTACTGAACTTGAGTTATTGATGCTTACAGACATTGTTAATTTGTTCAGATTTCCTTTATGAATACTTTCTTTCTTTGTTCTGTTTGTTTTGAAAATGAGGTAAAGCCTGCTTGTGTCTTAATTGATTGTTGACTGTTCAAAATGAGCAGGGTACTTTTACCCAAAATACGGCAGCTTATTTCCAGTTATGTGTATTTTCTGTGTAATTTCAATGAAATCTTAAATGTAAATAAAATGTTTTTTTTTAAACTGCTTTTGGCTTCTTTGTGTAAAAATAGTAAAATTCACAAAGTTGAACAAAACTAAGTGTAGAAAATACAAGGTCTTCAAAACGTTAACATAACAGAAAATTTCAAACTCTCTTAAAACTCTCATAAAAGGCTTGTCAAAGCACCTAGGCTTTTACAACTAGGCTCCCTCTTTTATCCATTTACATTTGGAACAACTGTAATTAGAACATTTTTTCAGAAGAACAGATTCGGCATCATTTCCAGTCCATCAGCAGCTGTAGTAGACAATCAGTAGCATCGCGACAGGATGGCTCCTCACTGCCCAAAATGACACGCTTTAAGTATGTGCCCTGAGGAATCCTACAGAGGATCCTAATGCCAAAAAAATAAAATAAAAAATGTGGACACTCAAATATATTTAAACAGTACAACCATCTATGGAAATGTATGTATCAAAACTAATTTCACCTACCAGTCATCTATGTCATCAGTCTCAGGGCTGACTTGGATCCACTGACCAATAGACCACATTCTCACAACACCGCCAGATAGTGTGTCAACATTTTCACAACATAGGAAATAACTATAAAAACATAGAAAGTAACTATAAAAAATGTACGCAGGTCTCACGAAAAGGCATGAAATAAAGCCTTACTGTTCAGTGTCTGTTTTCACTTCTCCAAGCTGGTCCACATTCCACCTCATTCGTTTGTGCAGTCCCGTGTCAACCTGGGCCAAATATGGAGTGAGCTGACAGTACCGAAAAATGGTCACCCTCAATGGGCCGTACCCAAACTGGCCAATGTGGAAATGGGAGATGCTGTAAAAACGTGAGAAAATTGTTTGCTTCATTGTGTGGCTTTATTATTTTATATGTGTAGTTTACCCGTGAGGCTCAGTTTCATCCAAAGACAGAAGTTCGTTGCTGGCACAGGTCAAAAGTAAATTCTCCAGTTTATGACAGAGAATCTGAGAAAACGTTAACAGCTGAAAACGCTAAAAAACAGTTAAAATAAGTAAAAAATTGTTATTGAATTTCACTGCTTCAGATAATGCAACATACATTCTTTTTGGGGGGCCTACAATAGTCTGATTCAGAATGACTTCAGAACTCTAACCCTTAAAATACTTAAAGGTGCACTGTGTAACTTTTCTTGTGGAGGGTCTGTGAATTGCTTGTCTGGAACTGTTAATGCTTTGTCTGGAATGTTCCACGCTGAAGATTTAAACTCATCTGTCTCCATGAAAATATACAGAAATGAAACTAGGCCAAGATACAGGTCAGATCTATGGAGAGGTGTCTCAGTGTATCTAACAATGCCTGTTTTCCATTGTATTTCTAAGCAATAAAAACATCTGTAATGGAATAAGTGTAAAATAGACAAGTTTAATACAGAACTGCTCAACATTCAAGCCAAAAAATCTCAATGGAAGTTTTCAGAAAAGTTACAGTATGCGTTTAATGAGTATGAAAACTTAGTACCTATTTTAGGTAACTATTAATAAATAATAATATCTGAAAAACAATTGGAAGTAGATCACTTGTCTATAGCTAGACTCTGAGCCAGTACTTCAAACTCGATATAGGTACATAAAAACATACCACTGACTCTGAGAGAGGGTCGTTCACATTCAAAGAATTACGGGCTGTTGATTCAAGATGGTTAAAGTAAGGCTGACAGGTGAACAGAAAACTGGCCACAGACGCAGCATTATTCTTTCTATCTGAAACACTGCACACAACACAACTGCATCAATGTTTTGGACCTGATTAAGTGAAAGAAGAAGTTAAGTATGACCATACACTTCAAAGAGGTTTTTCTGGATGTCGTCTGCTTGTTTAATGAAGACATGCATTTGCAGGTACGTGGAGTACCGGTTGAGGTCTGCCACACTCTCCTCCAGACAGCAGCACGTGTCACCGGCGCAGCTGCAGGTTGTGCTTTCACCACTCAGGGGCGCCAGCGTTGCATCAACCAGTAAAGAGAGCCACGCTACGGCTGAGAAAACCAAAATAGAGAAAAGTGTAAACTCTCAAGGTGTTTTTTGTTTGTTTGTTTGTTTGTTTTTTTCCTCACAACCACAACAGAGTTTACATTGATAAAATCATGAGGAAATCCGTGTGTTTTGTTCCACATAACATAAACACGTGTTGTATCCTTTGCTTTGGCCTTATTTGTTTTTTGGGGGGTTATTTTTGCCTATTTATTACAATTATCCACTCATAAAACAACTATCAGACCACCTGAAAAGTATCCTTCTCGTTATGGTCTATTTAAAAATACCTACATCAATAAAAATCATTTAAAACCCCGTGTGTTTTGGTGCATATAACATAATGCCTACGTGCCTTTTATACATTTGGCCAGCCTACTAAACATAACTGGTGTGGTTTATCGTCTTTGTGTTGTTGTAATAATGCTATTACTACTGACAGCCAAGGAGACTACATGTTGTTATTCTGACCTCTGTGAAGCTCTTTTTCCCCGGATTCCAGAGGCTCGCTTTGACATAGCTCTTGCTCTGCTGCGGGCACATCTGATGTAGGGGCCTGAGCGTCTGCCATCACTGCTCACTGTCCTATTGCTCTCCAGGCCTGTGTGTGTGGACAAGAAAAGATGCACACTTCAATGCTAATCAGTGTTGGGAAGGTTAATTTTAAAATGTATTCCCCTACAGATTACAGATTACATATCCCAAAATGTAGTTTGTATCGTAATCCATTAATTTATTTAAAGTGAGTAACGTAATCTGAATACTTTGGATTACTTGATATTGTCATGCTTTTTCACTTGTTTTGTATATTACCATTTGTCATTTAATAAATAAATTAAAAATATATATATTGTCATGTTTTTTAAAACTACATGAATGCAACAACCACATCCTGAAAATTACTAATACTTGACCACATAAAAAATATTATTGATAGAGAAATTATTTTTATATGAAATCACAATTATGTCCACCTATTGTTAGTGTCATATTGTATTAGTTTAATCCTAGTTTAGACCTGGTTTTAGTCCTAGTTTAGTTCTAGTTTAGTCCTGGTTTTAGACCTGGTTTTAGTCCTACTTTAGTTCTAGTTTAGTCCTGGTTTTGTTCTGGTTTTAGTTCTGGTTTTAGTCCTGGTTTAGTCCTGGTTTTAGTTCTAGTTTAGTCCTGGTTTAGTCCTGGTTTTAGTCCTGGTTTAGTCCTGGTTTTAGTCCTAGGTTAGTTCTAGTTTAGTCCTGGTTTAGTCCTGGTTTTAGTCCTAGGTTAGTTCTAGTTTAGACCTGGTTTTAGTCCTACTTTAGTTCTAGTTTAGTCCTGGTTTTAGTCCTAGTTTAGTCCTGGTTTTGTTCTGGTTTTAGTCCTGGTTTAGTCCTGGTTTTAGTTCTAGTTTAGTCCTGGTTTAGTCCTGGTTTTAGTCCTAGTTTAGTTCTAGTTTAGTCCTGGTTTTAGTTCTGGTTTTAGTCCTGGTTTAGTCCTGGTTTTAGTTCTAGTTTAGTTCTAGTTTAGTCCTGGTTTAGTCCTGGTTTTAGTCCTAGTTTAGTTCTAGTTTAGTTCTAGTTTAGTCCTGGTTTAGTCCTGGTTTTAGTCTTAATTTAGTTCTAGTTTAGTCCTGGTTTTAGTTCTGGTTTTAGTCCTTGCTTAGCCCAAAATGTGAAAACAGGAAAATACCGCCGTGTAATCCATTTATTTCAACAAAGTAACTGTAATCCAATTACCACTCACTGAAACAGTAACTGTAACTGAATACAGTTACTCATAATTTGTACTCTGATTACGTAACTCCGGTACATGTAATCTGTTACTCCCCAACACTGATGCTAATGTTTCATATAATTTGCTTAAACTTAAATTATATGCAAAGATAATAAATTACAAAACACAACTTCACAAACACCACGTTGACCAAACAACACATACCTTTGCGTTACCTCCTTTGCTTTGGCTAATTTTGGCTAAAGTGCGCAAAGTAAGTAATGCGCATAATCTAATGTCAAAGGTTAATGGGGGTGAAAACAACAGCACTGATCAGTTTGTTTTAGCAGCACGTCATATTTGGACTTTTTACAAATGAGCTAATGAACAATGATAAACTGTATATTTTTAACCTGGCAATTATTATGGCAAAATACTTACATGAATGTAAATTTGCTAACAAGAAATCTGCATTCAATGTATTTTACAAAGAAATTAAATGAATCCCCCTGGCTTCAACAATTTAACAGTTATTGATGTCACTTTGTATTTGCACTATTTTGTATGAAATGCAAGTGTATATGTGAAGTATATTTAAAAAAAAAAAAAAAAAAAAAAAAAAAGCAAAGTTCATCTTGCGCAACCATATTTTTGTATGATTTTGTTTGGTGAAAAATACGAATTTGATTTGACATTTTGTTGTGCAGTTTAAAGGGCCCATTACTACGCTGTTTTCCTGATGATAATGTGTTTCCTCATCAAAAACATTCCCAGAGTTGTGTTTTGTTTCGCACACAAACCCTGCATATTTAGTCTGAGTTCTTTTTCCAAACAAAAAAATACTCTGCGCAACCTTGTGATGTCATGTAGTAAAACAGGAAGTGCTCCACTGTGTTTTTAAACTCTGTAACCGTCAAGAAAATCATTTGGATAGTTTCAGCTCTGGAAATACCAATCTCTAGTGAACAAAAGGTAAATGGTAGCTGTTGAACTTGAAAACTGCCACTTCATACTTCATGACGATGAAGATGAAGCAGAGCATTTTGAGCTTTGGAGATGTCAGACAGATTAATAATTTAACATGACTCACGTGTGTGTGAATGAAACACTCCGGGTACGTTTTTGATGAGAGAACAACTTTCTAACACGATAACAAAGCTTACAAGAGTCAGTTTTGTGCATGACCTTTACTCTTGACTGGTCAAGTATAAAATGAGTCTTGTGAAGATTTGAGCGTGATCATAACTAAACCTTCTTAAATGTAATACCAAAAATTATTCATAATTACGTAGACAGAGTGTGCATGTGTGCTGACTTGACATATGTTCAACAGTTGGTGGCTTTTATTGACATTACAGTAGTAGTTTGTGCCGAGTCACATGACCCATCCGGGCGCGTCCTCATCGCGCAGCTTCGGACCAATCACGGGCCAAGTCCGCGCTCAGAGGCTGTGTACAAGTGCTGTGTGCTCCGTCTGCTGCCACACTTAGCCACAGTTTCATGCAGACTGACTATTTAATCATTTCCGATCTGTTTTAAGAAGAGTTGCGCTCCTGGGTACGTGTTTCGTGTTTCTGGACACTTTGTCTCCCGCTTCCCGGCTCCACTTTTGTTTTTTGCGGTGAACAAGGGCTCGGGGCAGACTGACAGGCGGCTTTTTGTGGCATGTGATACGGACAACAGACAAGGCGTGTTCACGTTACGCGGATGTAAAAGAAGAAAAGAGAACACAGTGTTTATCATTTTTATTTTGATAGCCATTTTTACGATGTTTGTGAGGGGCAGGAGCGCGGAGATGGTTCCCGGTACATTTGGCTGGGCGCTTGCTAGCTGTTGAATGGCCAACGCGCAGGGAGGAAGAACAATGTGCTGAGCCTCACGGGAAGGCGTCGGATGCTCTGATGCAAATGACCCTAGCCTTTTTAATGTGACTTTGTGAATGCGTTTTTATTCGCTTCACTGTGTCCTGGTTAAAAAAAACAACAACATCACCAAGATTGGTCTTTTTTGACAGTGTCCCTTTCCATACATGACAACAATGCGGATTACCTCTTGACTGGACGTCTTTGTGTGTCATTGGGCTCTTGGTAAAAGTTTGCGTGAATTGGATATTTCCTGAAAAAGAGACGGCTGACTGAGGGTAAATCTTCATCACGTGCATAGCTTTTTTCTGTGAAGCCTCGAAGACAAACAGCAAGTGGGACAGCCATGGCAAACGACTCAATACAAGTAAGTTGGTGAAGTTGCCCTGCATTGACTGGGCTCATTTCCATTGGCTTCACGTCTGGCTTTATCTCAAACTGCTGTCTGGGTGGCCCCAATAGCTTGAACATTCTTATGTGGTTTATTATGATAAAAATGTTATAGGTGCCTATAAAACATACAAAAGAACAGAACAGGAAAGCATGCCAATGAATACATCAATGAGTCGGTCTGATAATACACTGCCTGTGAGCCTGGGAGAGTCCAATTAGAAATGGATATTTTTATGAATAATGTACAAGGCCTTCCTCTGGTCAACACTGCTCTTGTGTCCTCTAGTATGGGCAGGGGTGCTCTGTTTTTAGTGAAGCTTTATGTCGTCATCATTTGTTTTTGGACAGGCAAAGCCAAGTTGTTTTATAGAGGCAAAGCCAAGTTGTGTTATAGAGGCTAAATAGTGGCGTTTGTCACTAAACACTCCCCATGTGTCTGACTGGGGCAGATCCTCGGTTTTTTTCTGTTTTTAATTACATAGTCAAATAGAGATATTTATTGTTAACATTACATTCAGGAAGCTTTGTCTCCAAATATCTAGATGCACAGTGGTGATTAAATAATAATAATAGCTGTCATTTGAACTAGTAAGAGGATTTTTATGCAGCTGAGCACTACATTATAGACAGCCCTTTTGTTTTTATAGTGCTAGTTTAATACAAAAGCTGTTCTGCTTTACAACTGTTCCCAATACCCATGTTGTGATGTCAGTGTTGAGAAGTTGTTTTATATATTTCTCTGTATATCTGTATCCAGTATATCTTTCCATGTTCTTTTCATCTCCAGGAAGCACTGAACTGAAGCATGTGCGAGTAGTAAAACAAGCCAAAGCCAGCTTTTAATTAAGTCTTCTTGAATGCACCATGCTATCAGACACCTTTAAACTTTTCTGTGCCTTAGATTAGGTTGCCACCCAAACAGGGCTAATCCTAGCTTTGGCATCTGTCCTTAAGACTGACAGGAGGAAAAACTGAATGTATATTACCTACCATACCCTACATATATTTCATGTCTTAACCAGGGGCTCTGCAGTACTTGAATATGGATTTTAATTCTAAGGTTCATGAACATGGACTAAAATAATCAAATTCTTCCAAAAATATGACCTATTCTCCAAATGACGCACTGCCACAGGACTGGCTATAGACCTGTTGATTTTAAAACGGATAATTGTGATCTGAAATCAATTTAATTACATTTTGTTATAGCCAACATGAGATATACCATAACAAAAACATTATTTAATAATATTTAACCCTGACTTTGAAACACCGTCTTATGTGCTTTTGCTGAGCAGTTGATGGAGACACTGCAGTATCACTTTGAAACTTTGTGAAAATTGGCAAAATTAGTTGTAATATTATTTTTGGTTGAATTCTCAAGATTCCTGTGCTCAGTAAAGACAAGATCTCAAACAAAGGAGGGAGACGGGCTGATGAGCATGAGGCTTTAGGTCTTGCTTTTGATCAGAGCTGTTATGGAGCTGTTACTGCTTAAATCGAAACGTGAATTGTGAAATGAATTCATTTCCCCAGTTATCAGATTTACAAAAGAAAACTAAAGTTAAGTCCTTGAGTTTACATTTTTACCACTAACTAAACTACTAGACCAGTGCGTTTCATTCTTTACTTTGGATTAGGTCTACAAATGGACTTTCATACAAATATTTTAAACAGTTTTATAAGTGGACTGGTGAGGGTACATAAGCACATCAGACTGCACTTTTATGGCAAAGGTTAAGATCAGGTTTGTTGTAGTGAATTTTATATGATTAGGAATGATCTTTTGGCATAATGGAAGAAAATCTAGAAAATGTCAGTAATATTTATTATAGTACTAATATAGATTTATGAGTACTTAGGGTGTGAGACAAGCCAAGGGGACACTCCACCCAAAAACACTGGAAATCACTGACACATTTATGCAACAAATATTTGATATGATTTAGCTAACTTACTAAAACAATAACATTTGTTTTTTTCTACACACTTTTATCTTGGGTAACTTCAACAGAAAGGGCTAGACACACAAAACATGCAGCTAACAAAATGTTCTTGGGCACAAATAGCCCTAAACACGGATATTACAGGCTCCATAGATAACGACTGACACACGCAGGCAGTCAGACACTCAGGGGAACGCATAGGAGAGCACTTCCCATACAGCGGCCACCATGACGTAAGGAGACAGTTATGCACAAACTCGGCTTTTCTCAGAGCTGCCCTGTGGCCATGTAGAGCCCATAATAATGCATCATGAAAAAGCACGGCAACAGGAGGCTTTGGACCTAAGGCTCAGTGGGTGACTTTAATAAAACAATATGGCCTAATGGGAGTGCTCTCCTGCAATGTGAGCCCATTAAGATATATTTAGGCTTAGCAACAGGATGAACAATATTATGTTTTTTCTGTTTGAGTTTTTTCAGCTAAACTTGAGCGTTTTTATATAAAGTGTGTAAATTATTGATATGTGACACCCAAGTGGAAATTCATTTTATTATTTTTTAATGATGAGGGAGTAACGTATAGGATTAGATGTCTGTGAATGTCTTTTGTAGCTTTGGGCTGGATGATAGAATTGACTAAAATATATATATAAAATACATTTATTTTATTTATTGTGATTTTAGACAAGTGTGTTGGATGATTTTAATTGGTTGTTTATGGAACAAACCATTCTGCACTGGAGCACTGTAACACTTTATTGTAACATTTTATCGTGTTTTTATGTGTGTTTTGTGGATGAATGAAATGTGAAATGTGGAACCTGTCTCTTAAATCTGCAAAGCAAATTTACCTACGGGTACGAATAAAGCAACCTAACCTAACCTAAACCTAACCTATATCTATATAATTAACTGTATTTTCAAAAATATATTATAATTTCTAATTTTGCATAATTTATGTTCAACATCTGTATTTTGAAATGGTCTCATATATCGACCACCTCTAGTTTTAAATGGTCTCTTTGTGCTTTGTTTAGTTCTTTGTTGTTGTAAGTGATAAAAAGCTCTGTTATGGTTGGATCATGCTTCAGCGCTAAGGGCTGTTCACATATGGGTATGGTCTGGTTGAGTCGGGGGTGGAGGGTGAGCTGAGGGGAGGGCTAAAGGCCAATATGCTGATGATGAGCCACCAGCCACACTACTACAATAGCTCATATTGTCCGACTCTGCCTAGATCACATTCAGTTCACTCTCAGTTCATTGCCTGCTCCTGGCTGCAGCATGTCTGATGACCACACCCTGGTCAACCAACAACCAATTGACAAGTGACATCAGCCTGTGGTCTAGTAGGGCTAGGAATCATGGGGTCGCTCATGATTCAATACAATACTCAACATAGCTCTTAATGTGATATTGTGATATGGTGATGTGATAATCAATATATTACACATCTGCAATATATCACTATTTTTAAGAACCAAATACATTTTAATAACTGTATTTCTTTGTTAAACAACTACCTTTGCAAAGTCACTATGGAATAAACCAATTGTAATCATTAAAACAGTGAATTTGTCAGTGTATTGAATCAACAACTTTCCTTTTTCTGAACAAACAGCAAAACTGTACCACTGTCACAAAATAATTTAGAAAAATGTACCAAAAAATACTGGTATCGTTATTACGGGCTGGTGTATCACCAAATTTAGTATCATATATATTTCGATATTTTAGCACATCACTACTGCCCAGTGCTGTGAGGGGCTGCTTGTGGGCCCATCCAAAGTGAAATCCCCTGTGCTTCCCCACCCTTTGAGGCAGCATTAGAGGAGCCAGTGCCTCATCACCCCTCTGAGCCCCAGCAGCTGTTGGGAGCGGACGTTTCTCTGTGGGTTTTGCCCTGTTTCTTTATCTCCCTTTAACATCTCGTCTTTCCGCTCCACAAACATCCTATAATTCTCATGACCTCATGTTGGTGTACCCCTGCATTCCAGCCTCAGCCAGACCCCTCCTTCTCCATCATTACACACAAATACTCTCGCTCTCATATCTCCACTGTAGACCAGTGATTCTGTCACATTTACAAGTGCAGAATATAAGGATAACTCTGCCCTGTATGTTTGTCAGTGCATAAATACTTTAAACATTTCTTTTAATAGTTCCCATAATGCTTTTGTGTTGATGCTGTAAGAGTTCTAATTGCCCACTTTACCGTTCACATGGCCCGGCTTGTCAGCACCAGCAGCCTTGCACCCTGACGTACATTGACCTTTGCCCCTTCCTCATTATGGCAGTGCCCAGGGCCCCCGGGACACATGCATTGATCTCTGCGCATCACTCAGTGCTGTTGTTTAAACATGGTTAGGTTAACTGTGTGTGTGAGTGCCGCTGAAGTCAACACTCAAACATTACATTGGCTCGTTTATAAAAGTGTTAGAGCCTTTACTGCTGAGTCTGCGCACACAGCACTTTATTTCAACTGTTGGACTGTGCTGGAATAAGTTATAAAACTACTCCTATAAACTACTCTTGTATATTACTACATAATAAACTACAACTTTTTCTCTTTTTGTTTTGAGTACTATGTGCTTCTGGGGCTGTAACAATATCTAAATCCACTGTATAATGTTTTCATATAGCCTGGTTAGGTTCATTAGGTCTTCTGTTATAATTACTGCATATTTATATTTTAGATTCTTATGTACAGATCTATCATTTCATACCTTGACAGTTTCAGCTGCAGTCCGCTGCCTTCCTCAGAAGTATCATGTGATAGTGCTGTGACGTGTCTCTTTCACTCTGTGTGCTTAGAAGACCCTGAAAAGTCTTTAGTGCAGTCCTTATGGCTAGATATAAAAGAATAAAGTTTAAAGGTCCTATATTATGCAAAATTAGCTCTTGCGAGCTTTAAGTCAACCTGGAGTTGTGTTTTGTTTCATTCACACATGTTAGATTAATAATAAAGAATTACTCAATCTACATCTCCAGAGCTCTGAATGCTCTGTTCCACCTTGTGATGCCATGAATC